GCTGACCCTCCAGCAGGTTTTCAGAGGCCGTAAATCACATAGGAGGAGATTGCCCATCATTCTCCCAAAGAGCAGCTGGTGGATTCAAACCCTGTACCTATGAGATTTCGGTGCAGCTTCTTACTACTAGGTCACCAGAAAAAATTGTAAAACAGTGTATTAGTGAAAGCTCATTGGCAAGAGTTTTAGATTACTAAGACACTTACTATAAGGTTCCACATTTAAGACTAAGAACTACAACTTCCTTTTGTACACAGAGGTGGTGATGCTAACCATCTGGTCCAATCTGATGTATTATTTAATTATGTAGTTATTTAAAAAACAGATCTGTTTCATTTAGTTTGAAATATTATTTCACAGAAGTAAATTTTAATTCTATATTTGCCTTGGAAAACAGTGAGTCATGTAAGAAGAATAACTTTGATTCTTCATGTATATTTTATTATATCTTTTAATGGATTTTTTTTCTTCAGTTAATGCCCAGAGTTGCTTTAAAGAATGTGGTTTCCAGTTATCAAATCAGTTCCAAAAATCAGTAAGGAAATTCTAGAAATGTAACTGTAGGGAATCTTTTACAACTGCCATTTAATACCAGTCCAAATTTCTAAGAATTGTATAAAAGCATTCTGTTATAAGTTATCCTGTTGGAAAAGTATTCCATTACCTTAAAAGACCCAACATTTTACTAAGTGCTTTGAATTTTGCATGGAGAAGAAACTCTATCACTGGAAGATTTTGTACATAGCCTAACTTTCACATTTAGAAGAATAACTACTAGAATTCTAACTGATCTAGAGTGATAGCAACAATATGTATTTTAATGGTTTGTTCTATAAATATACAAGTCCATTTATGTCCACTAGTAAATTCTGCAATGGATTGCACAGATGCAGGCATAACAGTGTAGATGCCCTCACCCTTAAAGTGGTTTGATGTCATTCCATGTCTTAGATGATTCATCCTTTAAATGATTTCCAAAATATAAATTGGACTTGACTACTGAATCTAATTAATTTTGATGAATTTATGTCTTAGAATATTTTTGTAGATTTTTTTTCTTAAAGAAAAAGTACATCTGAAAAGAAATGGGATGTGTAGCATCATTAGTACAAATAAAGATATTTAAGAGTACTTCTGTTTCTTCCTGCCTGCCAGCTTTCCTCACTGTCTGGCTTTATTCATTCCTGATAAGGCTGGCATTGTCTGTTACATTTGTTTCCCCAGGTAAAGGAAGTGCTTTATTTGACTTCTGTGGAAATTAATTAAGTGTGCAGACTATCTCTAAACATCTCCCCTATGTTTCTAGTTAAAAAATAAGCTAGTTAGTTGAAACATGTTGTTGTTATGTGCCCTCAAGTTGCTTCTGTGGGACTCAGAGTCACCCTGTGTACAATCACCTTGAAACCTGCTCTATCCTGTGCCAACCTTACTGTCTCTGACACACCTCCCCCCATTACCCTAGTCACTGAATTGATTCATCTCATCAAGGACCTTTCTCTCCTGCACTGTCCCTCCACCCTCCCAAGAATTAAGTCCACTGGAGGGTCAGTTATGGGCAGATTCTGACTCACCAAGCATGATGTCCCTCTCATGCCCAAAGTATCAGACGAAGCCTCAGAATCCTTGCCTCCAAGCAGCAGCCTGATTTCAGCCTCTCCAGGATGAACTTGTTTGTTCTCCCAGCAGTCCATGGTATATTCAGTACTTTTCCCTAGCACTACAACTAAAGTTTCTCGGTTTATATGCCTTGTTAGGCATGTAACCTAATGGACAAGTAAAAATAGTGTGTGTGTTTTTTTTCTTGCTGAATCTACTTAAGGAAGATCTTACTTAGTAATTTTGATTGGATGCCAAGCACTATAAAATGTTCCCTTATTGAATCCTTTGTGGACTAGTTTATAGAGTTCTGCAGCTAACTCAAAGCCTCTCTGAAGGTCATGAGTCCACCAGTGGCTACTTAGGAGAAATATGTGGTCTCCTCTTGTGTGGTTTACAGCCTAGGAAACTCACTGGAGAGCCAGCAGTGGGTCTGTTCTGATTTAATAGCAACGAATGAGGGTTTAAATGGCCTTGAACTTATTCTGAGACTTAAGTACATACATTTTAAACAGTATGATCCCTCTGGACTTGCTTTTAGCATTATTTATGTGCGATCAGAGCAGTGCTTAATGATTTAATTATATTGACCCAAGGCCTTTTTCAGTCTGACAGTCTTGAGGACATGCTATGAGGAAGCCATGCAAGGTCTTACATGCATGAATCATGAGGTTTTTTCCAGTCAGAGTAACCGTGTGATTTCTGAGTAAGCACTGATGTTTGTAATTCTTTTGGGCGGTTGTTTTCCTCATTTTGAGGTAGCTCTTCAGATGCAGAAGGAGAAGCTCCTGCACTGAGATGATTAGCAAAGGCATCACAGAAGAAGCAGTTTTCTGGTCAGCGAAGGATTGAGAGAGGGCCATGTCTTGAGTTTTTACTGTTGTTGCTCGTTTTTGTTTTGCTTCTTACTGTTCTCATTTCTGTTCATGTTATTGTGCTATCATTGCTGATCCCACAAGCACTATTTTCAAATACTCTCCCCATTCTGTATGGCTGGCTACTAATTCCTTCTGGCTGTGTTTCTCTGAATCTGGTCTCCTGGCTTCTGCCTAGATTCTGCTAATGCAATGGCCCTCAGACATTAGAGTCACCTGAAGAGATTTTACCAGCTCCCAAGGCTACATCCCAGAACAATTACACTAGAATTTTCAGGATCACCAGGCATTCATACTTTTTAAAGCTCCCAAGTTGATTTTTACATGCAGCCCAGATTGATCACCACTGAGCTTCTAAGAGGCCCAAGTGGAAGATTGTTACTGTGAAATGCCATTAAGTCAGCTGTGATTCAGCATTCTTGTGTACAGGAGGATGAATCCCTGCCCGATCCTGTGCCAGTCTCATAACTGATGCTGTGTTTATGCCCAGCATGCTAGTCACCGTGTCAGTCTGGCTCACTAAGGATCTTTGTCTTTTTCACTGAAAAAACAAATCTATCTTAGAAGAAGTGCAGCGAGAGTGCTGTTTAGGGACAAGGGTTGTGAGGTTTTGTCTCACTTACTTTGAGAATGCTCTCAGGAAGAGTCAGGAAAAGGACATGATCTTTGGAAAAGGGGAAAATCAGTGAAAGATTAAAACTTACTCATTGCCATCGAATCAGAATCAGCTCATAGATGAACCTCTATTGGGCTTCCAGTTATATCGCACGGGAAGAGATGGCCTGTTCTTCTCCTGCCAAGTCACTGGTGGATTTGGGCACGGCTTGTAAGGAAGCCACCTACCCACTCCTCACTTGTTTACTGCCACCTAGTTAGAAACAACTCATAGCTGATTGTCCGGCAAGTGTCCAAGGCTAAAAATCACATGGGAGGAGATTGCCCATTTTTCTCCTGTGGATTTGAACCCCCAGAAAGATGTGGCCGTTGGGTTATCAGTGACACTTCGTCTTCACCCAGAGCTCTGCTCCCTGTGGACTTGGGGTTGGGGGGCTGCTGGTGGGAACCAGGAAGTTTATTTCCTTCCAGCTAATGTCACATCTTTGAGCTTCGGAGACTGTTTTCTCTGATCCTTTCGGATGGTCTTGTTCTGACATCTGGTAATTTTCTCATAGGCTCTGGCTGATCAGGGCTCTGTCTGAAGAGTACTTGAGGGGAACCTTACCCATCTTCCCCCAGTTCTCGCCATCGTACTGTCTCCTCACTAACACTCCGTCCCCCCTGTGATATCAGCTGCCTTGGTCTCCCCAGACACCCAACTCCATCTTCTCAACACTCTCTCCCTCCCTGGCCTATGACTTGGAAACCCTCCCTAGGCAGTAATTGGGGACCTTACACTTATTTCCAGTCTTGGGAATCACTGTCCTGGTTGCCTAATGTCCAGTGTCTTGAAAGCTTTTGGCATATTCTGTCTGGTTTTTAGTTTATTGCAGGAAGAGTAGAGTTCCTATTACTTCATTTTGGTCAGAAGCAGACTAATGTTAGATCCAATCTTAAATGAATATTGGTCTTTTAATTTTCCACTGGATCATTTGCATTTCTGATGAACATATTCTAAATCAGAATTTTAGAGAGCAAGTCCAGGACTTAGTCTAAGGCCAGAACCAGATGATTTCTTAGTCTTTTACCAACTGCAATAATGGCTTTTTCCTTGTACTAAAAGGAATATCTCAATGCAAATGTAGTGACACTGCCCCTTGTAACTCCATTCTTTTGGAAAACACAATTATACCCTTTGAGTAATTAATTCTTTATGTAAAAGGCAAGCCAATGTAAATAATCCAGGACGTCAAAGCAGTTTATTCACTTTGGAAGATTGTGTAAATCTAGATTCTGAATCAATGTATCTGGGGTCGAAATGCAAATTCTCAGCAGGGGCCTGAACTGCTTTGAAGTAATTTAAGGTATGTAAAAGGCTGTACATCCAAAACATTAATCATGCTGCTAGTTGGCAAAACCCAGAAATGTTCAGAAAGGGGTGCCTCATTAAATCAAGAGGGAAGCCTGGTAGTGCAGTGGCTAAGTTTTTGGCTCCTAAGAGGAAGGTCAGGCGTTCGAACCCATCTTGCTGTTCAGTGGGAGAAAGAGGAGGCAGTCTGCTTCTGAGAAGAACGACAGCGTTGGAAACCCGATGGGCAGTTCTGTTCTGTCTCATAGGTTGCTATGAGTCAGAACTAGATAGCAGCAGGTCATGGGAAGTAGTCATCATTGTAGTCAAAAAACCTCACTCAATGCTGGGGAGTTGGAACTGACTCTTAAGACCCTCTGTTGGGTTTCGAAGGCTGTAAATCCCATAGAAAGATATTGCCTCATTTTCTCCCTCAGAGCTGCTGACGGATTTGAACTGGCTGTCGGTGGATTTGGGTTAGCAGTGCAACAACACCCTGTGAACTACACGTAAATAAATACGGCACACTTCACAAAGAATAACTGAAGTATGCTGACCAAACCACTCTCCTTCCTCTTCTCCAGGAGTGACCCATGCAGCCATCTGGGCAGCTTGCATCTCTTACCTCAGTGCGGCCGTGCCCCCCGAGCTGAGGACGTCTGCCCAGGGCATCCTGCAGGGTCTCCACCTAGGCTTGGGGCGAGGCTGTGGTGCCATGATTGGAGGCGTGCTAGTCAATTATTTTGGTAAGAATGGCTTTCTCTTCACCCCACCTTCCTTTCTTCTTTAGTACAAATGTATGATTTTTTTTCAGCAGCACCTCAGTAAACATTCAAGTTATGACCTGAAACTGACTTCCAGGATTCATACTGTAATTTCAAATGGCAGTAAGTATAAAGCAGCGTCAGCCTGTAACTGTGCTTGCTTCTCTGGCAAGCTGCTCTATGAGGTGTTACATAGATCTCTCAGATGAGCCAAATAAAAGAGCACATGCCTTTGATCGGAAGGAAGGTAAGCTAAACCTTCTGATAGTAATGCTGGGTAAAGAAAATCTATCATTGCTATTACTTCAGGAGATTTTGACCCAGAAAAAAAGCTACAACAACCTAATTTGCCTGCCTTGTAGGATCTCCCTCATTGGATCTATCATAGACTGGGGTAGACATGAGTACCATTCTCTAGGGATCTTAAAATGTTCAGTCATTTATTTAAGACGAGTTCAAGGATGTCTGAATCTATAGCCCTATTTGTACTCTGTGGTTCTAGCTATGGAATATTAAAGCTGTTTGATAATATTTGGGTACATGGTCTTTATAGAAAAGGAGATCATCATTGAATTTGATGGCAAATGGCACCCAGAAAACCCTTTATTAATACAGTTATGTCATTGATCGGATAGAATGCTAACATTTGGCTTCCCTGACCCCTTCCCAGTGCTGTGTTATTTGACACACAACGCCAAGCCGTTCACATTTGAGTCATCCCAAGCTCTGCCACCTAGCCCAGCACTTCAGAGCATTGATTTGTTTGGATGAGGGCTATCTGCTTTTCTTGGAATTACTCTAGAGAGGACTGTTTTTTACAGGGGCTGCTGCAACCTTCCGAGGAATTGGCATGGCCTGCCTAGTGATCCTCCTGCTCTTCGCCCTGATCCAGTGGTTGGCGGTGCCAGATGAGGAAGATGGTAAAGAATCCTCCTTATTCTTAATGGTTCAGACCATGGAAATGCTACATACACCATATAAAACCTCCCCCCCCCAATAATTAATGGTGGCAGGACAGTGTACAACAGAGCTGTTTGGTTAGATTTTCTTAGTAGATGTGAACTCTTGTATACCATTGTTTGGGAGAAGCCCATGCTGTGTTGAAATGAATATTGGTTATTTAAGTAGCTTTGAGGTTTTTTTAATTTTTTTATGGTTGCTATAGGGTTTTTTTAAGGGTTTTTATTTATTTGTTTGTTTTTATTTATTTTTTTGTGTGTACTGCCAAATCGAATCTGACTGGTACAGGAGGAGATTGCCCCTCCTTCTGCAGCAGAGCATCTGGTGGATTTGAACCACATACTTCCGGGATTGCAGTGCAGCTTCTTGCCACTAGGCCACCACAGCTCCCTGGTTGCTGTAGTTTTATGTACCATCGAGTCAGAACTTTTTAACTGATCCATAGTTGATCCTCCAGTAGGTTTTCAAAGGCAATACAAGATACTAAAGAAGACTTAGTTCTAAATATTTTCTGGTTTTATAAAGATATTTCAAATTTAAGTCAAATATATAGATACAATATTAGGGAGTTCTGGTGGTGTAGTCGATAGGGGGTTGCCCTGGTAACTCAAAGGCAAGTGGTTCTGGGAATTTGAATCAGCCAGCGGCTCCTCAGGAGAAACCTAGACTATCTCCTCCAGTGCGATTTACAGCCTCCCCAAAACCACTGGACGGTCAGTTAGGAGTCACTTTTGACTTAACACCATTGAGTTTTGAGGTTTTTTTTATATACAGAGTAATTTTACTACTGAAGATAGGGAGTCATATTAACCTTTATGCCTTGACCTACATTTGGAAAAAAAAATCCTAAACTATGTAAGCCTGAAACGTGACATTTTTTTCTGAACAATGCATCATCTTTATTAAATGGTTATACAGATTAAATGGTTTACAATATACAGTTGGTAAATGAGAATCAGTTGATTTCTTTTTTAAACAAAGAAGGCCAACTAGCAGAACAGTCATGATCTTGCTCAGTTCTTCGGTCCAGTAGAGACCACATCTCCCTTGAGCATTCTGACCTTTGAAGAGCCTTTGTTTCTACCTGAAGAGAGAAGAATAATTTGTAGCTGAAACTCCAGAAACCGATTTTAATTCCAGTGGTTATGCGGAATGAGAGATGAAGCTGATTCTTCTCACTTATATTCTTTTATAATTATGAGTGTATCACATAGCCCATGCCTTTGATAAAAAGCCAGTAGCAATAGCTGCTCATGCCTTTTTCTATATATTGTTGTTGAGTACCATCCAGTCGGAACAGACTCATAGTGGGTTTTCAGAGGCAGTAAATCACACAGGAGGAGATGGCCCATCCTGCTCTCACATTTTTCTATATCTGGTGTTTATAGTAAGTTCCTAGGTTATAACTATTTGACTTATGGACAACTCACATAGGCCTTTAATATTATGTAAATTTGCCTTCACTTTTAAGTAATTGAACCAACCTCCACTTGCAACAAATTCTTCATTATAATCACCTTCACTTCCTGCATGTGTTGCTTTTAAATCACTGAAATGGCTTTGTGTCTTTTCATTCAGTGAAAGTCACTGCTGTTGATTCCAACTCATAGTAACCCTATAGAAGAGAGTAGAACGGTCCCTTGGATTTTTCTAAGGCTATAAATCTTTCTAGAAGCAGACTGCCCCCTTTCTCTCCCATGGCATTTCACTTAGCAGTTCAGTGCTTAATTGACTGTGCCTCCAGGGCACCTTTCTTGCACTAAGTAAGGCCTGATGGTAAGAAGCTGTGTGGAAGTCCTAAAGGTATGTGGTTTGAGAAAGATGTGTAGTCTCCTCCTTGTAATTAACTGGCTCCCGAAACCTGCTGGAGGGTCAGTTCTGACTCAACGGCATACAGCAACAACAAAAAGGCCAAGTAGGAACCGAGTGTATTTGTTCTGTGTACCTACAAATTCCACATAAGTCAGTTTAGGAACCAGTACCATTTATATTCAGAAACTGCCCGTGTGACAAAATAAAATGTTGCCTGACCCTTGTCATCTTCATGATTGCTCTGGCATATTTGAACCCAGTGTTGTGACTAGGGTGTCAGGGTACCTCATTCAAGGGTTCCCTCATTTTTACTGTCTTCTGCTTTGCCAACCATGATGTCCTTTTCTAGCAACTTTTATTGTGTATTAAGCCTCTACAAGGAGTCTCAGAAAGATAACATCATGTTTATTTATTTAGTTCTTGGCCAAGTAAAGAAGCCCTGAGTAAACAAGAGCTAATTAGCATTGTCTAGCCCATTTGAATAGACTCTAGGAGTGATGCTTTTTTTTTTTTTTTAAAAAAAAAAAAAAAAAAGGATTGTTGCTTTTTTTGGAAGGATAGGATTTATTTAAATATGAAGAAACCCCTGAAACATCACTTTGAACATAATTTTCTTTCCAGACAAGACAATGTTGGCAGAAAGAATTCCTGTTCCCTCCAGCCCTGTTCCCATAGCAACCATCGACTTGGTACAGCAACAGACAGAAGATGTCATGCCACGCATTGAGCCCAGGCTTCCGCCCAAAAAAACCAAGCACCAGGAAGAACAGGAAGATGTGAACAAACCAGCCTGGGGTGTCAGCTCTTCTCCCTGGGTGACCTTTGTCTATGTGCTCTACCAAATTAAAGAGCTGATGCAACTGACAAGAGACAGCCGGGCTTCTGAGATACAACCGTTACAGGTAAAATTCCTCTGCTAGCTGGCAGTACGCCTTTCGCCAGAGCCACCTGAAGTGGGCTCAGTTGTTTTAATCTAGCCAGTTCAACAAGATATTTTGAAGTTTTGTTGAGGGAACTAGACATGCAAATAAATAATTTCAGTAATCTGTGATAAGTGTATGCAAGGGTATACACAAAGTCCCAGATAGGGGAATAATCTGCATTGTGGATTTAGGCAGACTTTACAGGGATATATAGAATTTCTTGAAAGAAATTCAAGAAATAAACCCATTTTGATTTTTTACATGTCTTTAAAATTTCAGTAATACCAGGTGTTCTGAGGATAAATGGGATTTTTTTGGTTTTTTTAATTCTTGGAAGACTCATATTTATTAATCTCTGAAATTCCAAAATTTTTGTCCTGGGTGTTGTATAGAAAGTTGTCCTTGTTAGGGGCTGTCAAGTTGACTGATTCACAGTGACCCAGACAGCAGATCTGAACCTGGCCCTTCCCTGCAGCAACCTCACCATCTCTGTCATGCTCCAGCCCTTTATGGGAGTCACTGTGTCAAAATCCATCTCATTGAGGGTTTTCCTACTATCTAGAACAGGACCTCAATAAATACCTGTGAAATGAAGGTAGTCAGCAAGCTGTGCTCCTAAGTGTTAAATTAGCAGACTTAAGGAGGAAATCAGAATGAGAGAAAGCTTAATGCAGCTTCATTAAGGGGGTGAATAGGGGAGCTCCCAGGTAAGGTTCCTCATTCTGGGGTTGCAGAATGGGGAAGTCACACTGTGAACTTATTAGGGATGGTTTTTTATAACAATCTTCAGAGAGGGACATTTCACTTTGATTTACGGTCCACCTGCTAGCTCAGGAAGGCAGGCAAGGACATTTGCTCTTCTTATCAGTAGCAGGCAAGGCCATCAGTGTTTGAATTCTGAATTCTTCATTCTTCTCTTAGGCCCTCTTTGTCCAGACATAACATTCCAGCCTCTTTAGTGATAAAACAGGGGACGTATCTTTCTTTTGGCTACTTCCTTCTGAACAGGGGCTAAGATTTGGGGGTTCAGAGGCTAGAGTGAGTCAGTCTGGGATCAGTGGCCAGGGGAGAATTAAGTTGGTCATCTCCTTGATCCTGTGAATTAAGAACTTAAAGAGACATGGAGCGATTAATAACAATGTGCTATGGTTACTATTGGTCTTAGAGAAGGAAGACTTTACGCTAAAAATGGGGTTTTGAGCTAATTTGGGTGAAGGCTTGTGGTTTAATTCTGTATAGTGTCTTATTACACTAAAAGTGTTGTCCTGGTTCAGCTACAGTGTGCTGGTTCATGCGAACACTGTATATGCAGTTTTCGTGTTCATTGCAGAGGGTACTAGATGCGAGAGGGCTTAGTCGACTTAACAGGCTTTGGTTTTTAGAAGGGAATGTGTTTTGGAATTTTGGAATGGTGGAGTACTTAATTTGCGCTAGTGAAGTAGCTTGAGCTAGTTTGGTGGAGTGTGCTTTAAGAAATTGATTGGTACTACTGCTAGCTAAGATCATTGTAAAGAGGCATGCAGTAAACAGTGGGAAAGGCTGGTTACCATCTGACTTTGGTTAAAGAATAATAAGGTACTCTGGATACTTTGGACCCACTTTGGTGGGTCCTGCATAGTTTGTGACTTCCCAGAGACTTATTTTATTATTGTCTGATCAGCTTGGAGAATGTCATTGGAGACCTGTACGTAGGTATTGGCATTCAGAGTGTATTCTCTGCTTATTTATATTGTGCTAGAGGGCAAGGAATTATATTTAGTAGGATATAGTTGTTTGTTTGTATGTTTGTTTGGGGTTTATAAAGGTAGAAGTTTTTTTTTGTTTAATAGAAAATTTTGGTATTATAAATGTTAAGGATTTTGCGTGACCAATATGGACAATGTGTGTAATTTTTTTTTTCTGGTTATTTTTGACAGTATGAGTGGACTTGGTTATATAGAAGTAAACAAAGGGTTGTTTATAGGATGAAACTGCTTTAGGTGATGCTGAAATGGTGGTTGCTGTTTGTTATCTTTGTTGAGAGCAATTTGCTGAGCTAATGAGGTGTATGGTTGGAGTAGACTGCTGTGTGGAAGGTTTTTTAGGGCTTGAGTGCTGAGTGAAGTGAAGAGTAGTAGGACTTACCATTTTAAGAGGTTTAGGAATTTTTCTCAGTGAGGGAAGCATGTTTGACTTAAGATGGTGTTTAATAGTGGTTACCTTGAAGCTGTGGGGCTGCTCAGGATAACTGTATACGGTTTGTTTTAGCATACATAGTTGGAGAGGCATGGGTGCACAATGGTTGAGAATGGCATTTCTTGAAGTGACTTTAGTGGCTTTGGTTTAGACTTTTAGATGAGGATCTGGTTATGCAGTGGTCTGAGTATTTTTAGAGTAATTGTAACACAAAAAGGTCTAACATATCTAATTGAGTGTGGGAGTATGGCTTTGGTGTCTCCTGAGTAAATCAAATCAAGGTGATAAAAGAGTGTGGGTAATTGTGTAACTAGAACTATTTCCTGATTGTGAAATATAGATAAGTGACTTCTATGAAAGGTTTAAAGTAAAGAGTTCACTTCCCCTTTTTATATCAATCACTTCCTTTTACTTGTTTCATGATAAGTTCATGTAACTTGCTTCAGAGGACATATAAGCAAAGAAATCATACAGAAAATTTCTAAATGGTAACTTGGATCATTTTTTCTTTAGGGAATTTGAAGCTATTTAATGAAATGTATCATGAATTTGTAAATTAACATAATCTCTGCATAATTTTAACCAGATTTGACTCTTCATTGCCACCTAGGATGCATGATCTTAGTTATTTATCCATCAAGGTAAAGGATTACTTGTTTTATTAAGCCTTGTTTTAATGCTTCACAGATAATGTATTTTACACACCTAAAGTTTGTAGCAGCAATCTGCATCAAGCAAATCTTTCAGTGCCATTTTTTTCCAAACGCATGTGCTCATTTCATCTCTATTACATCTTGGTAATTCTTACAATATTGCAACTTTCCCCATTATGCTGCTGCATGCTGCACACTTAGTATACTCCATTGTAGTGTAAACATAATTTTTTAGATACACTGGTAATCCAAAAAATAAAAATGGTGGTCTGGAACAGAACCTGCAATATGTCTGAGATATGTCCAGAATAAACTCATAAATCTTTTGCTCTGTCCAGAACTGGAATATCATGCTGAAAAGAGCATATATAAAGGATTGTAAAATCTTGAAATAAGAGTTAAATTAGGAGAAAGGATGATACCTGATGTTAGGATAGCAGTTTTTTCATTACCTTAAAATTCATTTTCTCTGATGCCTTATGGGCTTAGGTTGTTGTTATTATGTGCCATCGAGTCACCTGTGACTCATAGTGACCTGTATGTACAACAGCCCTAAACCCTGCTCTATCCTGTGCCAATCTTATTGTCTCTGATACATCTACCCCATTACCCAGTCACTGAATCAATCCATCTCATCGAGGGTCTTCCTCTCCTGCACTGTCCCTCCACCGTCCCAAGCATGACGTCCCTCTCCAAGGACTGGTCCCGCCTTGCAACATGTCCAAAGTATGTCAGACGAAGCTTCAGAATCCTTGCTTCCAAGGAGCAGCCTGGTCTTACCCTCTCTAGGATGAACTTGTTTGTTCTTTTAGCAGTCCATGATATATTTAGTACTCTTCTCCAAACCCACAGCTCAAAGGCATCAATTCTCCTTTTGTCATCCCTAGTCATTGTCCAGCTTTCGGATGCATGGCAAGTTATTGCAAAGACAATGGCCTGGATCAGATGCACCTTAGTTTCTAGACTGACATCATTGCTCTTCAGTACTTTGAAGAAGTCTCTGACAGCAGACTTTCCCAATGCAATTCATCTTTTTATTTCCTGGCTGCTGGTACCAAGAGTGTTGATTGTGGAGCCAACCAAACTAAAGCTGTTAGCAGTCTCGGTCCTTTTACCATCATCATGATGCTGCCAGTCAGCCCAGTGGTGAGAATCAATCTTTGTTTCCTTGATGTTTAGCTTCAATTCATGTTGAAGGCTTCAGTCCTTGACCTTTTGCAGCAAGTGCTTCAGGTCCTCCTCAGTTTCAGCAAGGAAGGTTGTGTCATCTGCATAAACTGGGCTTAGGTAGAGTTTATAAAAAAATACTCCCCTCCAGCAACAATGAATGAGTAGAAATCCAAGTTCTTTATAACCTTTCATTAAAATCTAAAAAAACCCCACAAAACAAAAAAAACCCTCCCCCCCAGTATAATAAGCTTAACTAGAACTGTTATTTATAATGATACTTATTCTTATGAAAAAGTTGTTATACTAAGTTAAGAAAAATTTTCGAATAAATCACAGAGATTATTTTGCACAGCTGTTTTGAAGCAGTGCATGCTAATCAGAGGGAAGCCCCATTATTTCTAAAAACATAATTCCTGATTTGTAAAGATCCGTATGGCAGTTTTCAGGTATTGCTGCCAGTGATACACTAGAGTGAATGCGTTCTCATCGTTACTTGCAGTTGTTTACATAAGTACCTGTTTACTTTCCCTTTTTTAACCTGGACATTCTGTCTCATTTAAATCTTTTGTGTATTTTGGCATCCCAAATTAACCCTTAGATTCATTTTTAACTCCAGGACATGCTTCTCTTGGCTTTTGTCTCTGAGGTTTACAAGTCCTTGCTAGATAAGGTGAGTGGGAACCTTTATGGTGCAGATGGTTAAGTGCTCAGCTGCTACCCAAAAGGTCTGTTGTTCAAACCTACCCTCTGCACAGAGGCTGTGCAGAAAAAGAACTGGCTATCTGCTTCCACAAATACTGCCCTCCAGACACCCTGCATGGCCTCACTGTGAATTAAAATTGACTCAGTGAAACCCACCACCAAATGAGATATCCTTTCACTCCCGAATTCTGTAGACTTAACAAGTGGTGGAGTCTCTAGGTGGTGCAAATGGTCAGTGCGCTTGGTTGATAATTAAAAGGTCGGAAGCTTGAGTCTACCCAGAGGTGTACTGCAAGGGTGATCTGCTTCTAAAAAATCAGCCACTGAACACAGTGACACTGTAGGTTGACATTGACTTGATGGCAACTGGGTTTTGTTGTAGGTTGGGCTTTTTTTTGTTTTTGTTTCTTTGTTTTTTGTATCAGACACTTTTGATCTCTGAATTCCCCAACCATGGGTTTTGACTATGGATCCCAGTAAAATAAAACTGTCAACTTAAACACACACATCCCAAAACAAACAAACAAACAAACAAACAAACAAACAAAAAACCCCACCCAAAACAGTATACTTTGAGAATGTTGCAAGGAGGGACTGGTCCTTGGAAAAGGACATCATGTTTGGGAGAGTGGAGGGGCAGCACAAGAGAGGAAGACTCTCGATGAGATAGATCGATTCAGTGATTGGGGTAATGGGCGTAGGTGTGTTTGAGACAATAAGGTTGGCACAGGATAGAGCAGGGTTTAGGGCTCTGGTACATAGAGTCACTAGAGTCACAAACAACTCGACAGCACTTAACAACAAGGTATTTCATGTAAGCAGAACCATATACTATTTGCTCTTTTGTTTCTGACTTGGTTTTGTTAGATGCTATTGAATTGGCAGCTCAGTAACCTTGCATATAACAGAGGAATTGGGTTACCCTAGTCTATGAAATAGAAAGAGTAACTGGCAACTGGTTTTTAACGAGTAAGACAGATTCAGGGTTGCATTCCCAGAGAATTGCCTCAGAGGCTAGTAAGGGCACAGTAGATATTTGCTGATGTGTACTACTAACCTAAAAGTAACAAGCATCTTGGTAGAAATGTTCCTGTCCCCAGGAGTCATCTACTCATAGTGTTTGTGTTTTTCATGCGGCTTTGGCAGTTGCACATAGGAAAAGAGATGAAAGGTAAGACACTATCCTTATTCCTCTATTATTTGTTCCCTGAAGTGGACACTTCAGGATGGCTGCTATATCTTAACTTGGAGAATATGAAAATCGTTGGGCTCTATTGGCTGTTACTGAATGGCATCTCCTATTTCTCTTCCAGGGGACCAATGAGAATCGGGAACCTTCTCCAGCTGGTGAAACCCAGCCTGTCCCATGTGACATTCATGCCGACCCATCCAGAAATCAGCCAGCCTCTCAAGCAGCCGCATCTCAGACCCATACCAGCCCTGCTCACCCCACTGTGGACCAGCCTGGGGAGGCAAGTCAGGAACAGCAGGCCCAGCCTGCTGTGGGAAGACGCTGAGGGGACCCTGCTCATCTCACACCCTGCATGGAATTGGCTCCTCTGCCAGCACAGAGGGAGAGGTGACCCCAACCCAGGACATGCCTCCCCTTGAGGAATCATAGCACCACACATGCTTCTAAATATCTAAGCTCATTAACATGGAAACATACATGCACACACAGGAGCTACAGTACATGTTGGCAGGAAAAGGCACACTCTCATCTTTGTAATGACAGAAAGGAAGGAGAGCTCAGGGAGGACTCTCAGCTCCCTCTGTTGGGTGGGTCAAGAGATACAGGATACTCGGCCAGTGCAGTAAGAGTGGAAACCAGCAGTGACCCTGAGTAAGTGGAGGGGAGATGTAGCAAGGTGAATGCTGCTTATACAGAATTTCTCTGTTTATTATAAAGATTCGGCTCATAAGGGTAAACCAGGAATAAATAGCATACATCTCTAATTTTATTTCTCTTGAGAAGAATTACTCAAAAAAATTGTAAGACATATTTTAAGAAATAACCAGATGAACATTAGGAGCATATATACTTTTAACTTGCATCAGAAACTTGACAGATCTCTAGCAAGCCTATTTTTCTATGTGGATAGGGGCATAAAGAAAAGAAATGATTCTTTGAACAAAGTAAACTATTATTGATGACTTCAAGTTACATTGAGCTTTAAAACACCTTTTTAAAAGAGGCTTGTGAAAGACTAGAAATGAGAGAATATTAAAAGAAACCAACTCAGTATCCTGTGGCTTGTTAGACAAGGTTTACTAAGTATATTGATACTGTAAATAGCTTTCATCACTATTTACCATTTTATAGTGAGTTGGGCTCTAATTAGCTGATTGATAAAAATGCAAACCAAAACAAATCACTGGATTCCTAATGCTTTCTTTAATTAAGCAATGCTATTTAAAATAACAGTGTAAAATTTAAGTGCCTGAGGGGGAGGGACCAATCCAGTTTGTAAAAATTACATAATGAGTCTGTTGTTGGTTTGTTTTTTTGGGGGGGTTTTGTTTTTTGTTTTTTACTTTGTGAGGGGGAAGGGTAACCAATAGGAAGCTAGAAAGGGGAATAAGAACTATACTTTCAAACAAATTAAGGAAGCAAATGTCAGTGCATTGTTTCCCATGAAGAATGGGGACCACAAACACTGGAGAGTTCACACACTGGAGAGGTCAGACATACGTATGCCATAGTGCATGTTACAACTACAGTCAAAACACTGGGTGAATCATGCAAAAAGCTTATTGCTGAAAATGAAAGCGGAGGTTCCTAGCAAGCCTTGGGGCAGGGTTATGGAGAACAGATCTTTGCTTTGAAGGTTAGTTTGCTGGTGTAACAGCTTTGGACCAGCAGGGGAGGGAGGAAAGCAAGTTAAAAATGAGCAATTCGCCTTGCCTTCTGACCCTGATAGGACAGGCCCAGTGGTCAATGGACGCTCATGCAGGGCGGCCCCACACCACATCCAGGCAAAGGGGATCCTACACTTGAATGTCTAGCTGCACCACAAAACACAAGCTTAAAAACAAAATAGCAGAGAGAAATAGCATTGAGCAAATAGTTATTTTTGCACTTGAACTGAAACGTACTGTACTGTAAATGATCATGACTCATTTTAAGTGACCTTTAAAATCAGATGTATTTATTATCCTTATGTAAGTATAGAAATAAGTAAATGGGTGACAGGCTGAACCCTACCTATGAATGTACAGTATGTGGATTTGTGAAGCCGTCAGAAGTCAAAAACTTACACCGTAACTTGTGTTTACAGTTCCGATTTATTCCTTTGAAAAGCCTGCTGTTTTGGAAATGCACAGTTGACACGTTGAAATAAAAAGAAATACAATTTTTAAATGTTTCTTGTATGATAAAAATGTGACTACACAAATAAAAATCCTGTACTGTGTAATAGATGAGGCCAGGGCCTTTGTACATGGACTGTGAGGGCCGATTCCCTCAAGCAGTACTTTGCAGCTTTTTAGAACAGATACCCTTGCGGGTTTGTGGGCCTTGTGACACTTTCTTCTTGCCATGTGCCACTTAAGAAAAAAAAAATTAAAATAAGTTCAAATTAAATTTTGATTTGAGGATTTTATCACCCCTCTGTAGAACCCCAGAAATCCTCAGGAGTATCCCCAAGTCAGGCTGCTAATCATAGCATAATGACTCCTTCCGTACCGCTTGCCCTATGATTGTGGGGGGAAAAGAAATTGCCCCAGAGTACTGAATGTTGGTGACTGCCCATCTTTCTTCTGCAGAGCAGCTGGTGAATTTACCACTCTGCCACCAGAGCTCCCTAGAATAACGGATGCTTGTTCCTCCCTCATACTGTTGCCAGGAAGGACTAGGCCTTGGACAAGGACAGCATGCTTGGAAAGGTGGGGGAGTGTCACCACAGGAGAGGATGACCCTGGATGAGATGGACTGACAAGAGTGACTGTCAGTCGTAATGGAGAACAGGTGTATCAGACACAATGAGACTGGCTCAGGATAGTGCAGGGTTCAGAGCTATTGTTCATAGGGTCGCTATGAGTTGTAGTCTACTTGATGGCACAGTCAAGTCGTTACACAGTCCACATAATCCAAGTGCAAGTAAGCTTCATGAAAAGTCTGAAATTCATAAGGCTGTGAATTCATCATGATACTTATGACAGTTTATTAAGCTTGCTGTCGTGCACATGAAGCAGTAGTTAGCAAAGCGCTTCCTTCTGATTTCTACTGCAGGGTGGCCGACTGGTGGTAGGAGACCACTCTTTCAGCAAGATTTCTCAGTCAGCCTGGAGTTAAGCAGTGGATCTGGGAGGGGAGGAATCTTACCCATAGTTACTGAGTACTTGTTCTAGGTGCTAATGAGATGATCACTTTGTCTTTATACTATGGGTGCTACTTAGAAGCAAGGATGGTGAAATTTCATCTTACATGCTTTTGAGCATATTGTAAATGGTAGTCTTTGGAAAATGATAGGCTTGGAAAAGTAGAAGGTCAGTGAAAGAAAAGATCCTCGATGAGATGGATTGACACAGAGAATGAAAAAATGGACTTGAGATGGCAGAGACTGAGGATAGAGCAGGATAGAGCCACGTTTTATCTGTTATTCATGGAGTCACTCTGAGTCATATTTGACTTGACAGCACCTAGCAGTGACAGCGTAAATCTCATGATCTTTATTTTAAATGATGATAAAATTGGAGTTCATTACATGAGAAAGGGCACAAAATCAGGGTTCAGACTCACATCTGTGATGACAAAGCCCAGGAGGCTTTGAAACCATCTCAGCTTGTCCTTTGGTGACTCACTGTGACCCTATGAACAGACCTGAAGCCTGCCATATCCTGTGCCAGCCTCACAGGATGTGAGGCAGTAAAATCTCTTGGCTGCTCATGACATTAAATATGTGAATTACATAACAATACTCCTTTGTTCTGTTCATAAAACAGTCTAATAAATCCAGTTCCCCGGTCTTCCAAGATTGGTCGCTTTGTGGTAAGGTAGTACGCTGCCAACCCGAAGGTACAAAGTTTGAAACCACCAGCTGCTCTCTTTAGGAGAAAGACAGTCTCCTGTGTGATTTACTGTCTCTGAAAATCTCGTCAAGGGTCAACTAGGGGTTGGTTCTCAACAACAGTCTTCCAAGAGGACACCTGCTGGCTGTACCAATTCAAGAACACTTTTTATATTTGAGCTCTAGTGATTTGAATCCTCCAGTGACTCCATGACAGACATGTAAAGATTTACAGCCTTGGAAATGGCTGATGGAAGGTTACATTGAGTTCTATTTGCCGTGAATTGTTAAATGAATAGATTCTTTAAACTGGTTAATGTGAGGCAAGTTCAATGGCAAGGATCAAGGTGAATAATGAGTCAATATAAAAATGTGTTAAGGTTAAGTGCCAAGTTCTGCCTGGTTAACCCAGCCAATGTATGCCAGCTGCCTCCAGGGGTTGCATAAACAATGCCTATCTTACTGTGTGCCTGACCCTCCAGAGGGGTTTCAAAAATTGTTCACACTTCTCCCAGGGAGGAGAGGTGGTGAAATTGAACCATGTGCCTTTGGGATTGCAGCGCAACTTCTAACCACTAGGCAACCAGAGCTTCCTGTTGTTATGTGCCATCAAGTCACTTGTGATTCTTAGTGACCATTGTATAAGGGCTCTGAACCCTGGTCTATCCTGAGCCAATTTCATTGTCTCTGACACACCTACCCCCATTACCCCAGTCACTGAGTCAATCCATCTCATCCAGGGTCTTCTACCCTTATACTGTCCCTCTATCCTTCCAAGCATGATGTCCTTCTCCAAGTACTGGCCTTTCCTGGCAACATGCCCAAAGTGTGTGAGATGAAGCTTCAAAATTCTTGCCTCTAAGAAGCAGACTGGCTTCACCCTCTCCAGGATGAACCTGTTTGTTCTCTTGGCAAACAATATGTTAAGTACTGTTCTCCAGCACCATTAACTCACAGGCGTCAATGATTCTTCTGTCATTCTTAGTCACTGTCCAGATCTCTGTTGCATAACAATTAATTGCAAAGACCATGGCCTGGATCAGACCCTGTAGGCTTCTTTAAAATTACTTATGCCTGTTATCCATAAGATGCTTCTTTCAACTGGACTAAAAAAAAACCCCAACAAACTGATTTAAAGACTGTACATCACTACCCCTTAAAAATATTCACATACAGAAGAACAGAAGATCTTATTTCTTTTCTTCATTTCAAAGTTTTAATTCATCCATGTGTTTAAGATATACTGGTGGACATCATCATTTATTCAGAGTATCTTAATATCCAATATATCTTAAATTTTCAGATTAAAAGATCATACATTCCAATATCATCCTCCATGTCAGATGGTCACCCCCTATAATTCAGTCTCAAGTATTATTGGCAGACTAGAAACTAATTCACAAAGCATTTTGGGGTCATCTGAAGAGTATTTTAAAACCTTTTAAAAATATCATTTGAATGGCACAATTGTTTGAACAAGACTACCTACACTACATCTCACCCACACATTTGGGTGTCAAACAGTCCAATTCTCTAACAACAGCTTTTGAAAGGCACTTAGTATAAGCAAATAGCACAACAAAGGATTGTTATGCTTGATAAATGCATACCTATCAGGCGTAAAGCCACTTTCAGCCACCTATGAAGGGCAGAGCCATTATCATTGAAGAGTCATTTAAACTGTTTAAAGTGTTTAGAAAGAGGAGGGAGGAGGCAGATGGGTGAGAAGAAGAGGTGAAGAAGAGAGGAAAAGGAAAAAAAGGCGGGATGAAATCTTACTGGAGCTATTTCTTCATTCCTCGATGAGATTAGAATCGTGTCTGTGCCAGAATTAATCTCAAATGAATACAATATATATAAACACACCCAAAATATCACACAAGTAAATTTTTTAATTGTTCGGTTTCTCACAGTACTCATAAAACAGAAACAAGTTCCATGACATTCCCTAAAAAATAAACATGCAAATTAAGATCCCAGACTGCTGTCACTCTTTGTTCTTTCTTTAGCTGTTTGTGATTCTTAGGAGTCCCCAAGTTGTGCAAATGTGCACATGCTTAGCTTCTCACCAAAAGGTGGGAGGTTCAGGTCTACTCAGAGTCCCAGAAAGACGACCTACTGATGGATCTCCTTTAGAAAACAGTGGCCACTGAAAATGTAGTGGAGCACAGTCCTAACTGACATGCGTGGGGTCACCAGGAATCAGTCAACAACCTGGCAGATGGCTGGTTAGAGTGGTCCTAACGCCTGGGTTGCTGGCCTGTGAGGAGAGGCTGCTTCCATATCCTCTCTACCTTGACACAGGTGAGGCCTGGGGCTGTCACGGCGAGGCCATCCTCTGGGAATGCCAACAGATGGTTCTTTTGTGTACACACACACACACACACACACACACACACACATTTTGTACTAAATAAACTGCCTCTTGGGAGGTAAACTTGGCGAGCATAAACATTACAGCATGTATATCATCAACAAAGAGAATTATAAAAAAATAGCAGATTTAACTATATAACAAAAAGTTCAAGTTTCATTTTTAAAGATTGTTGTTGTTGTCATAAAAATACATCTGAAAGGTACTTCGTATAATCAAAGTCTATACAAAGGCACAGAGTGAATAGAATCTATTTTATGGGGTTGGGGAAGGGAGGAGGATGGGAGGGGAAAGTTAAGCTCCTAACAATAAAAGTGGCAGAGAGATCTGTAAAAGTCTGATGTTCAACTTCAAAGAGGAAATGATCTGAAAATCAATCTTATGGAGGTTACAAATGCTAGTGGTTACGGTTTAACTCAACCCTTGTAAATCTGGCTCTGAAAACCAGCAGCGTCTTAACTCCTGATACAACGTTCTCTTTTCTTCTAGTAAAAAAAAGATTCTTCAGGAATACCTCCCTTTTTCTTACTCTATGAAAGCAATTTAAAGAAAAGGCCTAAATATGATTGTGAAAGGCTCAAGTTAGCAGAATCTTGGCTCTCAGAAGGTTCTGCCATGTTCTCTTCTCACATTTGGTCTCCTTTCCTGAGGTCAAAAGAAACTCAGTTCCTCTTCATCCTGGAGTTTAACATCATGAATCAAGGAAAGATTAGTCAATTCAAACTGCCACAGAGGCTCAATTTAATAAATTAACAGAAGGACATTTTAATTCCTAATCTTTATATTAGGGAGCGCCAGTGTCCTAGTAGACAAACAATTGTGCTGCCAACCCCAAGATGCTTGGTTCGACTCTACCAGCTGCTCCAGGGGAGAAAGACGGGCGTTCTCCTGTGTGATTTCCCTGCCTCTAAAAACCCACTGGAAGGTTTTGGATGGGTTGGCTCCAACTCTATACATTTTTTTTTTAAATCTTGCCAAAATGTTAATAAATGAGACTCTTTTCACAGTTGTTCAGTAGTCTAAAGATGTCATCCCTGTGTGAGACTACAGAGAGACCCTCTTCTACATGAGCAGAGACACACCAAGGGCTACATTTTGGTTGCCAGGCTGCCTCTAAGGCTTTAGGTCTTAGACAAGTCATGGAATCTCTCCAAACCTCAATTCCTTCATTAGTAAAATCCAAGAGGGAAAATGCATTAGCATTATCAAACACACATTCCAGCGAATCTCCTAGAAAAGGGTATGTGGTCAAATTGAACACAACTGATGCAGAGGAGATCCACTTCCTCATCTTTAACGACTCTGAGAGAGTCCTGTAGTAAACATAACTCCGTATAAAAGTTAGCTGACCTCAGAATCCCTTCACGAACTGACACCTGATAGCGCCCTGTGCTCTCCCCTGTGGAGAACACTGGTCTTGGGCGCCTCTCAGCACTCACACTGCTGAACTGTCGGAGAGGAACGAAGACCTCTGATACAGGTTCTGGAGATGAAGAGAGCATTTAAAGCCTGGGGTGTTGACAAAGCACCTGCTCATGCTACCTGGCCCCTTGAAGAACAACACAACCACCTTGTTCCCGGTGAAAGGCTTCAATCACGGAAAGTGAGAATGACAGCCACAGAATCATAATGGCCATCAACAGTAAATAAGGAATAGAATGTGCCAGGAACGCTAGGTTGTCTTCAGTATAGTTTCGTTTTCCTTTCCAGTATGATTTGATCTTTCTCCACAGCAAATGTTTTGGCCACTGCTCCCAAGAACCACTCTGCCCCACTTTAACATGATCCCTGCTTCCCTGTTTAGGATGACGTTTCACTCGCAGGTGTCACATTCAGGTTAAAGAGCTGCTCTTCCAAAAAGACACCACCAAGACCATATTGTTGTTCATGCAGATGAATCTCTTCAGGCGATAAGTGGCTTGCTCCAAGAATAAAGTCTGCAAATCTAACAGGGTTTGGAGGGGGAAAAAATATCTAATGTTACCACAGACAGGCCTATTTGGATGACAACATGTTCCCTTGATACTTATCTCCTTTAATTAAATTTGACTTTGAATCAATCGAGGATGACATTTATACAGTGGGCAGGAAAATAAGACCGGTTCATGTGAACGGGCTACAGACAGTTTTTCAGGGAGAAGGTAAGGAAGGAGGCAGACCTCAGTGTAATCAAATATACCCTCACCTGCTTTCTTCTTCCATCCTTTATTTCTCATTAGGTTTGTTATTATTCTTTTCTGCCAGTAAGTCCCCTCCCTTCAGTCTTTAATTCTGGGATGCTGTTACTTGGGTATAGATGTTCTGGGGCTGTGGTCCACAGGGAGCTGCACTGCTAACCCAAAGGCAGTATTCTGTCGGCGGATTTCAAATCCACCAGCTGCTCCATGGGAGAAAGATGGGCAAACTCCTCCCCTTCAATTGACAGCCTCGGAAATCCACTGGAGGGGCAGCTATGAGCTGGTTCCAACTCAGTGGTAGCACGCTGAGTTATGTAGATTGTTATGAAGAAGAGAAAGCACAGCAGGACAAGAAGCAAGTCCTTTGCCACTCTTCTCCTCCCCTAATGGAAGTTACCTTTATGATCCGACCCATGAGAACAGCAGATCAATATTTAATCTGACATCAGCCCTGTAACTGAGCAGTGGACTGCAAAGAAAGAACCACCAGGCACCTTCGACATTATCTGTTGTCTTGGGAAGTCATTTGTTTCTACACGGAAATATCTCCCCGAAGCTACTATATGACTTCCCAAGCTACAGTTCCAGCACTGAGCAGGGCTCGGGAATGGTTAAGTGTGTGCTTACTTTTTAGGCGCCTGGAGTCTGGAGACAGCCAGCCAGGATGGGAAGTCGGGCCTCGCGCAGGCTCGGCGCAGCTCCTCCAGGGCCCCGGTGGTCTCAGCATCAGCTTGCTCCCGGTACTCCTCTTCCGTGAGATATTTAACTACCAGTTTTTCTGATGTAAACCATCTCTTCATTTTCCTAAAAAAATGCAGCATTTCATTTGGTTGATCATATTTGATTGTTCAACTCAACCCTTAAGAAATGTATTTCTTAGGAAACAGTGTTGCTGCTTAAACTTTCTTAACATAATACATGGAGTTCTGGTGGCTTAGCGGTAAGGAAGTGCACTGACAACACAAAGGTAAGCGTTTTCGAACCTACCAGTCGTTGTGAGGGAGAAAGACAGGCAATCTTTCATACCTCTGAAATTTACCGCCTCTGAAAATCTGCTGGAGGGTCAAATGTAGGTCGGTTCAAACTCAATGGTACACAGTAACAACAGTACAATGGAATACGTATACCTTTTTATTGCCATTATCATGACTGAGAGATACAGAACCCATAAAACTCATTGTTATTGAGGAACTCTAATTCTCTGTGACCCCAGCAGAACCTCAATCCACAGGCTGTGACTTTCAGAAGGAGATCACACCAGTCCCTTCTTCTGAGGCTGGGTTGGTTTGAACTGCCAACTCTTAGAGTCAGCAGTGCAGCACTTAACCGTCTGAGCCACTCAACCACTCCATGAAGAACCTGGAACTCAAAACTCAAACCCACTGCTGTCAAGTCAGTTCCAACTAATAGCTGCCTTCATCGGTTTCCAAGGCTGTAAATTATAACTGGAGGAGACTGCCAAGCTCTCTCTTGAGAGTTACCCGGTGGATATGAACCACAGGAGACACCTGGGCAGCAGTGCAATTCACTACAGCCTGTACTACCAGATACAGAACCTATATGATGTTGTTGTATTTTGGAACCGACTCAATCCTGACCTTCCAAAGGCTGTCAGAGGTCGTAAATGGCACTGGAGGAGACTGCCCATCTTTCTCCCATGGAACAGTTGGTGGGTTCAGTCACCTGCATTTGGGTTGTCTGTACTTTACTCACAAAGCCACCAGAGCTCCCTGGAACCTACGTTGTGGTGGTTGCTGGAACCGACTCATAGCTGACCCTCCAGTGGGTTTTCAGAGGCATTTAGCTGCAGGGGAGGGGACTGCCCGTCCTCCTGCAAAGCAAACGGGTAGATTCAAACCACATGCCTTTGGGATTGCAGCACAGTTTCTTACCACTAGGCCACCAGAGAGCCAGAACTATACAGTTGAGTCTAATAATAGGATTTCCCTTTTCTTAGATTATCCTCAACACTAAGTGAGGCATTGGAGAATTGATTTTTGGTAGAGAAGTTAATGGTATTTTCCTCCCTTCAGTGGTTTTTAACCACAATTAAAGTCTGACTTCCTTACGGCTGGCCTGCTAATTGTCTTAGCAAACCTTTGTGCATTTCCTTTTATGGAGTCCTAGAAAAATCCCTGGCCTGAGAAGTCAGATTTGTGGCATGTCACTTCCACCTAGTGGTGATGCTGTTGACTATCCCTCAGAGAGGGAGGGTACTGTCTGCACTGTAAATTACAATCAGCCTGCCTTCCCTGCATGCCAGCAGCCCGATAAGGTGAATATTGCTCTTTCTAACCAGAAAAGCTCAAAAGGGAGTAATCTCGTCCAAACAGCAATGATAAGAATATTTTCTAAATGCTAAGTTATATTTACCAGTTTTTAAATGATTTTATATTTCATTATAGGGCCCTGGTAGGGCTGCACAGTTGTTACCTATTACACTGCTAACTGTTGGGCTGGTGGTTCAAATCCATCAGCCGTTCCTTGGGAGCAAGATGAGCCTTATCCTCCACCAATATTTATTTATGATTAGCCCAGTGGGAAAAGTTAGACCAGTGTGTCTCCATTTTATTAGTCTTCATTCATTATCATTACAGTTTGAGTGATAATAAAAGTTAACAGGCCAAGAAACCTAAAGAGAATACTGAAAGAGATAAATAATTTCATTCACATTTTACATATCATGATAAAACTACTGCTAACCCATGATCCTTCTAGATGAGGAATGTTATGTGTGTTGTCTACAAGGAAGGGAGTTTTGTTGGCGTGGTCCATGGGAAGTGCCGCTGCCAACCCACACGGTGTGCCTCCCGGATGCTCTGAATCTGTCAGCGGCTCTGAGTGAGAAAGATGAATTCCACTGAGGGTCAGCTAGCGTCAGTTACGCACGCCTCAACAACAGTGAGCGTGAACTTGATCGATCATGAACATCCAATATCCATTTGTATTATATAAATAAATGATGCTGCAGTTATATGCCATCGAGTCAATGACTCCTCATAGCAAACCTATAAACAAGGCTCTGAACCTTACTCTAACCTGAACCAACCTCACTAGCTCTGACACACTTGACCCCTCAGAAGGATTACTAATTCTCTACTAAATTTACTGATTACCTTCGTCCCTTGCACAGAAGCACCATTCTGCATCAACATATACCACAGGTATATCACTTCTACTTCAAAACCTTAGAATTGTTGTGTAGGTGACAACGCACTTTGGCAGGACAGACAGATGGTTAATAAAAGGAAGATGGAATCCTATTCTGGACTCCTTGGGTCACCAATCTGGCACAGAGCCAGCAGCCCAGAGGAAGTAGCTTTTGGTAATAACCCTAGTCATTGCAGGCTTCAGGTGGACAGGCAAAGAAACACGGCCCCAGCCTCTCCGACCCATCCCTGCTGCCTCTGAGCTCATCCAGCAGCTTTAGGCAGGGGCCCTGTCCTGTCACTTCAACATTCTGACCCAGTGACAGTGACATATGTATCACAAGATTCATAAATTTCCATTTATCAAAGTTCCTGTTGCCTCACAGCCAATTCACCTCTTTACATATTTATTAACTCCTGTTCTGGGCCTTGGTCTCACTACTCTAGGCCCTCATCATTTCTTTTCTGGGCAGTAGTGATGCCCGAGACTGGTCTCCCATCAAGGAGACGCATCCCATAAGTATGGTCTCCCATCCTACCTGCACCTTAGATCCACCCTCTGTGCCAGAAGATGAAGGATCAAACCCTATCCTCCACTGATGTTCTTAGTATTTTATTTGCATTCTGCTGTAGAATGTATTTTTACATTTAATTACATTAGTTGCCAATATTTAGAGCTCACAAGCATGCATGTTCTAATTCCTCTTTCCAGGTTTTCTAGAAACCAGAGCCCCTCTTCCCATAGGGGAGTCAGTTCAAGCTGAGTGGTAACTTCCCCCTTTAAGATGGAAGGGGTGTAGTCTGTAGACGGTTGGGCTGCTCCAGACGCCACACGTCTCTGGTGGTTCAGATTCAACAGCAGCTTCACAGGACAAAGATGGGCAGTCTGCTCGCATTAAGTTTACTGCCTCGGAAGCCCAATGAGTCAGAATCAATTTTATGGCAATGAATTGTTTTTGCTTTGGGTTTTATTTTACTGCAGCGAAGCTGGGTTATAGAACTTCCCAGTCTTTAAACTCCCCTTCCTGCAGAAGGGGTACCTGGTTGGCATCATACTTTACAATATTTTCCTGGCATATGCATTTGCAACTCCTATGGAAACAGCTAATTAAAACGCAGGCTGTTTAACCTCTCCTGGGTGGAGAGGATCTGACTAGATTCCAGAGCATAGCCTGTGAGGCCTCCACAATAAGGCCCATTGTCGACCTCCCTTGCAGGCTCCATTAACACTTGCCCGAGATGGGACCAAGTTGGGCTTTCCCACAGAAGGATCTAACCACATCTCCTCAGCTCTCGTGATTCATTTCTCAAGACTCGGCCTAACACTATCTCCTTCCAGAACACTTCCTAAACTTTCTTTTTAGCAAAGCCATAGAAACACATGCTGAAGTCTAGTGGCAAGAAGCTGTGCTGAAATCCCAAAAGCACAGGTTTCTAATCCATCAGCTGCTCTGTGGGAGAAGGATGGGCAATCTTTTCCTGAAATCTGCCTTTGAAAACTTGCTAGGGAGGGTCCTATGGGTCAGTTTCAACTCGATGGTACACAACAACAACAATAAACTAATTCAAAGACTCTCACCTGTGTACCTAATTAAAAACGGGTACTCAAATTTAGCTCACTGAGGAGACATACAAACAGTAAAGTGTGACAACAAAAGTTAGCTCATGTGAATGGAAATCCAAAGTCTCTGTGAACTTTCATTAAAATTAACAAAAATTGTTAAAAAAGGTAAAAAAAAAGATTATTAGCTAGGACTATGGCTATTAAAGATTCTTCGAAGGAGAAATTAAATGCTTAAAGTATACTAAAATTTATGCTTGTTCTCTGTAAAAAAAATCTGACTTTACTCTCCACTAATGAAACATTCATGAGTTCAAAGCAATTTAAAAAAAAAGTTAGCTCACCTTTCTGTAGTTTCAAAGGGTGTTAAGCTTTAAAGTACAAAAGAAGATCCTAAATACATTCATACAATAGATAAAAGATTAATTTCTGTTTTTAAATATTATAAACACTGTTTTTAAATATTATAAACATAACATATAACACCAAAGCATCCTTTGGCACCAATGCAAGGAAATATGGAATAAAAAAAGTTATAGGCAACCCACAGCAGAAAAACCTACAGCCACTGTGTCAATTCTGACTGATGGCAACCCTCTACTGGTATAGGTCTTGACAGGAGCAAATGGCCTTTTCCTCTTGAGCCAGCCAGTGGGTTTGAACTGCAGACCTTCTGGTTAACAGCCCAACACATTCTATCAGTGCATCCTTAGGTAACCCAAAGCCAAAGGAATTCTGAGGCCGATTCAAATAAATTCTAGTTAGGCTGCAATTACCTCGTAATTGGTGCAGCTCGACATGATTAATGAAGATTAGAAATGAAGGGAGGGAGCTCTGGTGGCACAGTCCATGGGGGCTGGGCAGCGAACTCAAAAGACGGCATCTTTGTGGAGGTTCAAATGCACCAATGGCTCTGAGGGAGGAGAGGGGCAATTTCCTCCCTTGAGCTTTACAGCCTCAGAAAACCCACTGGACGGTCGGCAACGAGTTGCTTCTAGTTTGTTGACAATGAGCAAGAGAAATGGCGACAGAATTAGACATTGAAATTTTCCCTCCGGGTGCATTCTCCAGATTAAAACAGTTACTCCTCCAAGCTATGAACACAACTGGACTTTCAATGTCAATTTATTCAAAACTCACTCATTGCCATCAAATGGGAACCACCGCATAGGTGACCCTCCAGCAAGATTTCAGAGCCTGTAGGCTGCACGAGGGGAGACTGCCCATCTTTCTCCCGAGGAGCAGCTGAAGGTGGAATTGAACCACATTCCTATGGATTGGCAGCACAACCCCCCACTCATTAGGGCGCGAGACCTCCCTTGTCAATTTCCTAGGACATTTTTTAAAAGGGATGCATACCGGCTCAGGTAACAGAGTGCTTTCACTGGGTAGTGCAGACTTCTGGAGCACAAGATGAGGGCCATGGCTGCATACGCAAACTGAGGCACGGAGACCCCTGAGCGGATAAGCACCAGGGAGAGGAGCTGCAGAGCCCACATCAGAAGCCTTCTGCTCCTCTCATCAGCCAGGGGCCCGTGTTTGTAACAAACGGTGAAGCTGAAAAGTCCAACTGTCAAGGTATAGCCTGGAAAAGCAGAATATAAAGTAATGTACGCTTGAACTTGCTCAGTTATGTTTAAACCTGGAAGAGCCTTGACTTAAAGCAAAGAGCATATCAGAAAACCGTCATAATTTTTGCAATGAAGCAAGGTTTCGTTTAACATTTTACGTATGCAGCTAGTTATCACTGCTAAGTAGATCCTAGGCTGACTTCTATAATGATTTGGGGTACATAATCATAAACAACAAACCACTCATTGCCATCAAGTCGGAGCCAGCTCAGAGCTGACCCTCCAGTGGCTTTTCAGAGGCCGTTAACCACACAGGAAGAGAGTACCCATCTTTCTCCTTGGAGCAGCTGGCAGATTAGAACCACCTGTCTAGGTTAGCAGCACAGCTTCTTACCCACTAGGCTACCAGAGCTCCTTACACAATACTAAGTTACTAGAACAGTACTATTTACATTAGTTAATTATTACAGATAAGCACATCTATTTTTTAGTCTGGTACCATATACAGGCAAATATTATTATGATTGGTTTGTTAGGAATAAGTCAGAATAGGCCTATGTCACTGTCTACTAGAAAACCTATGTCTTATTTTTATTTTCTAGTCATAAAAAGCAAGTGCAACTTTATAGTGAGGGATCAGACTGTCTCCTTCCTAATCCCGTGTTACTAATACCGGGACGATTCTGTGCCTCTAGTTATGACCCACTGTAAAATGCCTATGCATCTCCTATGTATCCACCAGACATGCTGAACTTCTATCTAAGCTAGCCTCACTAACCTAGTTTTGAATTTACAAGAACTATAGGGAAGAGAGAAAAAATTACATTTTACCCCACCAAAGTCATCAGATATAGAAAATGGGACATTCTATGGGAAATTATCCAAGTCTCTTCAGTTTATCACTGTGACTAAAAAAAAAAAAAAACAAACCCAACTGGTTTGAATTAAAAGAGAGGACATAACAGATGTAAAATATAGATCTGAACTACATCCTCGCTTATACACACCAGCTGTCAAGGAGGACGAAGAATGTGATTATGGCCTGGGGAGCAGATAAGTTGATGTACTTAATAAGGCGGCACGTAACAACAACAACAACAAACAACAATAATTTCTCCAGATTGAACCACTCATCTTTTGGTTAACAGTCTGATTTAAAAAGAACTGACGCCTTTGAGTTGTGGTGCTACAGAAGAATCTTGAACATAACATGGACCACCAAGAAAACAAATAGGTCTGTCTTAGAGAGAGTGAAACCAAGTTTCTCCTTGGAGGCTAGGATTTTGAAGCTCCATCTTAAATACTCTGGACATGTGGCCAGAAAGGAACCTGATCCTTGGCGAAGGACATCATGCGTGGAAGGGTGGAAGGACAGTGCAGGAGAGGAAAACCCCGGATGAGATGGATTAATACAGTGACAATGGGGGTAGGTGTGTCAGAGTCAGTCAGACTGGCTCAGGACAGAACAGGCTTCACAACTATTCTACATAAGGTTGCCATGAGTTGCGGGCCACTCAACAGCACATAACAACAACAACAACATAAGGGAAAATGGTCTTTTTATTTAAAGAGAGACACAGTAAAGTATTTAGGCAAGGATATCATGATATCCATGAGTTATTTTAAAAATGCTTCAGCATTGACAAAATTAGCTATAAACATAAAATTTTTGAAGAAAAAAAGTGATTGCTTTTATGTATGTATGTATGTATGTATGTATGTATATATTTTATGAGAGAGGACTTTTATGAACAGTTTGTTGTTAGGGTTAGGAGGAAAAGAACTCTACCATTCTCTGTTATTTCTCAGTTAAACAAAACAAAAATAATAAACTGATGTCTTGCTTTTGTTACATGAAATAAGGAGAAGGACCATTTTCTTCTCATTTCTGAAAAGTCAAGTTTTCAGTCGTTATTTTATCTAGGATTTCTTACCTTTAATACTGACTGAATTAGGAAAAAGAAATTAAGAGTTTGCAGAATTTTTTACAAGTTAGATGTAGTTAGCATTTAACCACAATTTGGAAGCATATGCAGTCATAAGGGAAATGGAATTTTTGTTCTTTTAAACATTAATATAGAACTAGGAAAGAGATCATGATGAAATGCCTGCAATAAGATAGGAATAAACTGTTATCAGCAACTATGGGAATAAAAGAAAAACACATATTTTTTTTAAAAGTTCTTCTAGAAATGGAGATTCTAGAGACCAACTATATTCAAAGAACACCTCTAGTCATACTTTTCTACTTCATATAGACTTAAATACACTTTTTAAATAAAATGTATTTTCAAAACTTTACCTACCTAATAAATATATTCTGCTTTGATACCACAGCCACTTCAGATGATCCACCAATTGGCTTAAAATGTAAACTGAAGCAAACCAAGAACCAACCATTAAAGCCCCAAACGTGCTATACTGTGCATGGAAGAAAATAAATGACAAATTTTTGTGTATGTGTTCATTCACTCTTATAAAAATAGAAGTAAACAAATAAACTCTTTGTAACAGAAACTTCTGTAGCTAACAGAATTGAGATCTAAAATGCTTCTCCTGAGCCTTGCTAGATAAAGTGTGGTCCACCATCCAGCAGCACCCCATCAACTGTAAGCTTTTAGGAACGCAGAGTCTTGGGCCCACTCCAGATGGCTGAACAAGAATTCAGTAACATGCTCAAGGTAATATGCTCTCCAGATGACCTGCATACATAATAAACCTGGAGAAAACACAGTTCTGCAGAAGACATTCAACCCAAAAGGATGCTGGATTATATACCTAATCAGGGAAATGCAACTTTATCATTGTGAATTAATAGGTATTTGTCATCAACTAAATGCACAACATTGTTTTTATTTAAAATGTTTCAGATAATAACAGTGAAGAAATGCATAGCAGTGACAATGCTGTAATTCAAGGCCCTGCTGGTTCCACATCCTTCAATTCCTAAGTTCTGCCAAGACAAGGATATTTGCACTTAGCACAGAATCAGTCCCTTAAGCAAAAACACATTCCCAAACCAAACCAACTGTGATCAAGTCGACTCCAGCTGATCTTGACCCTAAGGATAGAGTAGAACTATCCGACTGGGTTCCCAAAGCTGTAAATCTTTATGGATGTAGACTGCTACATCTTTCTTCAGCAGAACAGCTGCTGGGTGGGTACAAAACACTGATCATTCCGCTAGCCCCCAAGAGCTAATCACAGGTTCCTTAAAAACACATTACCTAGGGAAAAGATGTTTTTAAAAAAATTACCACAACATAATATGTAATAAAGCTTTGGTCATAAATAGAATCTTCAGAAAGACTTCAAAGTCAGTACATGCAACAAAGGCACATATATCCATGCAAAGCAATTCTGATCAATTTTTCATGCTTCATAGATCATGGTTTTCATTTTTTAATCATTTGCATATAAGGTACTTACCTTTGGGATGAACCTTTTCATCATTAACAGTACAAAGACGAGTGTCATTAGAACACCTAGCACAGTGCCCGATAAGTAAAAGAAAATGGAACTTCTGTGAAGACAAGCAGGGAAAAACCATTGCAATGCCATGTAGCACTTTTAAGTGCTAAAAACATGTTTAACCTGAGGACGGCAGCCATAGGGAATAAGAAGAAAGAAAAGCTCTCCTAATTCCTTAATACTTCTGCAAAACTACACCGGTACTTGAAATTGATGGTAAATGGATTGCCACATGCTCGAAAGAGAATGTCTGGGTTCTTTGTCTACATTTAGAGAGTCGGCTTCAACAATAATGACTGAGGACCTATTGTAGAGCAGGCTAAAAACGTCCCATGAATTCCCAACATCGCTGGGAAATAGCTACCCATGGCTCAACTTTACAGAGGAGGAAACCAAGGCATGGAGAAATTAAATTCAAGAACTAAAAATTCTGTGCCTGATAAAAGGAGAACTAAGGGTCTCAGCCCAGTTCCTCTGATGCCAAGCTTTCCCCTCATGTTATGTACACAAGTGACCCAAGTGACGTGAAGCCCACATAGTCATATTTTGAGCAAAGTTGGGAAATGAACAATGTTAAGAATAATTAACAAACGCTGGGTACCAACTAATGGGAGCAGACTTAAGGTAAAGGACTACTGGAGAAAGGCTTCTTTTTCTAGAAGAAAATGAAAAAACAAAATACAAGAATAATGTATTTAACAGATACTTGTTCAGTTCAACCATCTGTATCAGAGTCACCAATCTAGGAAGTTGCTTTAATGCTACTAGAAACAGTAAGGCAGCTGATATCAGAAAACCTGAATATAAATCTTGGCCCTAGCAAGAAAGAGCGATGAAAGATGTAGTTTTTTTTCATATCTAAAATGAGAACAGTAATGCAGAGCCTATATAGTTATGATAAAAAATAATATATGCTAATAGATAACATGTAGTCATGCATGTGGGCGTACTTGTAATATCTGTCATGATACACAAACGACTGTACTGTTTTTAAAGGGCCTTGAAGCACTATCTTCAGATCTATTGTCTGTAAAACCTAAAGCAAGGGGTTATAAAGAAGAACTATAAACTCATGTTGCTGTTGTTATGTGCTGTCGAGTCGTCTGTGACGCATAGCAACTCTATGTACTAAACTCTGCCCTAAACTCTGCCCTAACCTGTCCCCATTAGCCCTGTCACTGAATCAATCCATCTCACTGAGGGTCTTCCTCTCCTGCACTGTCCCTCCACTCTCCCAAGAATGACATCCCTCTCTAAGGACTAGTCCCTCCTTGAAACATGTCCAAAGTATATCAGACGAAGCTTCAGAATCCTTGCCTCCAAGAAGCAGCCTGATTTAACCCTCTCTAGTGCAGGAGGGGAAGGCACTCTATGAGGTGGATTGATTCAGTGACTAGGATAATCGGGATGGGAGTGTCTGAGACAGTGCGATTGGCACAGGACAGAGCAGAGTTTAGGGCTGTTGTACATAGGGTCACTATGAGTTGCAAGTGACTCGATGGCACATAACAACAACAAGAGGACAAACTTGTTCTCTTAGCCGTCCATGATATATTCAATACTCCTCTCCAATACCACAGTTCAAAAGCGTCAATTATCCTTCTATCCTCCCTAGTTATTGTCCAGCTCTCTAATGTATAGCAAGTGATTGCAAAGACCATGGCCTGTATCAGGCGCAACTTAGTCTCCAAACTTAAATAGCTGCACTTCAGTACTTTAGAGAGGTCTCTAACCGCAGACTTTCCCATTGCAATACGTCTTTTCATTTCCTGGCTGCTAGTGCCAAGAGTGTTGACCATGGAGGCAAGCAAACTAAAGCTGTGAACAATCTCAATCTCTTCACCATCCATTATGATGCTGCCAATAGGCCCAGTGGTGAGAATATTTGTTTTCTTGATATTGAGCCTCAAACCACACTGAAGACTGCAGTCCCTGATCTTCCACAGCAAGTGTTTCAGGTCCTCCTCAGTTTCAGTAAGCAGGGTTGTGTCATCTGTATAACGCAGACTGTTGATGATTCTTCCCCCAATCCTGATGCCCCATTTCTCCTCATAGAGCCCATCTTCCAGGATAATCTGTTCTGTATAAAGATTGAAAAAGTGTGGAGACAGGATGCAACCCTGGCATACACCCTTCTCAATTCTGAACCAT